GAGTGTTGCGGGGGGTGCGGGGTCCGGCCAAACTGGATTGTTTGGGGCGCATTAGTGGCGCGAAATTAAAAACACAGATGGGGATAGAGCAGCAGCGTCGCATGAGAAAGTAGCTGCCACATGGATATGCGCTATACCGTTAGCACTAGACGCAAACGTAAGTATATGCATACATGTATAATTATGTGGCATGCGTATCCAAGGCTGATATATTCCAATACTTATATCATGCATATGTATATTTGTATAGATGGTACTGTGGACGACCGATAGTCACATCGTGGTGCCCTTTAATATACATATTACTGTCGCTGCAACCGAGTGAGGTTACCGTGGGCGGTGTGAATGCGGTATCATAAGCAGATCGCTACCAAGCTTTGGTTAACTTGCTTTGCGCCTGACGACGCAGAAGGAGCAACAAAGTGTAGTAAAACAATAAAAGGAAGATATCCAGAATGAACAACAAGGCCACAAGAGTACGGAACATGTTAGGGTTGCCATGATTTTTCTTCTATTTAACGGCAAGCAAAAGTTTATCTAAATTATTAATATAGAATCAGTGGTATAATGTCCAAGAATTAAGGATTTCCCATTATGTTTTAAAAATTATTTCGGCCAAATGACCGCCGCGGCTGGCTCAAATAAATTTCAGCCGAGAAGCACAACTTTCGATCACTTTTGGTGCAGCTGAGGTCATACGTCAGCAATAATACGACAAATATTTTTTTTCAAGGCGTCAATGGTCTTGGGCTTTTCTGCTTGAATACGTACCTTTACATAAACCCACAAAAAATAGTTAAATCGCACGATCTTAGAGGCCAAGCCACAGGTCCACGACGATAATGCGCCCACCAAAGGTTTCCTTCAATGATTGAATTACTGACCCTGCTAAGCGATTATGTCGACCGAATATTGGACGCACGACGCTAGCTGAACCATTATTTTGGTAATAAATTTTCACGATTTATAAGCGGTGTTCTGGAGGAAGTCTATTCGCAAAGAAAACAGGCGTGGGATACCATTTCAAAGAAGGTTGACTTTGGACAGAGGTTAATCAACTACCAGTTATTTTTTGAGGCGAAATGAATCTTCTCTTTATCGTGCCTCAGAAAAAAATTAATCTGACACAATGTAATTTATATTATTTCCCTTTCTCAAAACCTTCATCACCATGGGCCGAATGATGTATGATGTAGTGATATAAACTAATTCATCGAATTACCCAAAAATGTAATGGACGTTTTTGTGCTTTTTTTTTTACATTGAAGAAATTTTTGCTAGAGTGGAGTTCAATCTACTTACCCGTTTTTATTGAACAGAAATAGACTCCAATACCTGTACATGTATCAATTATACAATGGAGAGTGGAATGGAGAAACTTCTTCTCATATCACGAAAGCCATTTTGATTGCATTTGGTCTTCCAAACCTTGTGAATCACGGTAGAGCTGATTATTTGTGTTTTATGAAACCTAGTCGTTATAATTTTTCTTAGTCGTAAGGTATATTCCTACCTCTTTCTGGAAAATTTTAATTGTTTTAAGGTAACGATAAATTTGTTGATAATTTAAGAAGCTAACAACATTTCTAGGGAAGAAAGGTTTACCTAGAATGGATTAATTTGCTCTTGGACCCACAATTCGATAGCTGAAATTGATAAATGCGGCAAACTGTTTCGATAAAATATCATTTGGCAACCCTGTTTGTAGGGACATTCAAAGTTTGAATGGGGAGAGAATTGGCTGTTATGCTGGATCTTGCGAGCTAAGAGACTCATTAAAATGCAGTGCGAGATAATAAGCGTTTTAATTAAATATTTAACAAGAATAAGTTTATCACAACAAGAACAAAAATAACCAACACGAACAAAGCACCAACAGTGAGAGTGAAACAATGCAAAAGGAAAGTTAAGTAAAAATGTCGGAGGCGCTACAGCTTGCAGCTTTGGCTCTTGGCTTCCGACTGTCATGGCTTCTTTTAAGCATCGTTACTTTGATTGTTGTTGGTTGGTTACATGTCGGTGTCGAGGCATGCCGAATTTAAGTGGATGTGCTGCTCCATGCATGCGCAAGTGAATTTGCCGGGAATATTTGTGCGTCAGGCCACACAGCCCGAAGCACACACACATATATACAAGTATATATAAATATGTATATATGGTAATATTTTTCATTTAGATACATGCAACGAGTGTGTGGTTGTTTGACCACGTGGCATGCTGCTGGCTGGCTACCGCTCGTGGCAAACCAAAATCCCGCTGCTCTTGAGACACATACATATATTGTTGTTGGTGTTATACAAGCATTTTTGTCATTTTGAGAATTTTTGCATGTTCACCAAAAGTGAGGGAGTGCACACACTTATATAGAACATGTGCTCCAGTGTGTGTGCGGTGAGTATCTCCGAGTGTGTCATTAAGAAAATGAAGCTCACAACAGTTTACCAGCAAGCAGCAACCAGACATCCAGCAGCAACAACAAGCCGCAGCAAATGCATTTGCAGTATTGAAATTTTGAAGCAACCACTGACATAGCTCGACACAGCATGTCTAAGTAGTGGTGGTTGTGTTGTTTTAGTTGAATTTAAATGTTTCTAAAAGTATATGCTGCAAGTTAGTTGATTGAATTTTAATTAAAGTAGCTCTTAAAATTCAGAGCATTCCTGGCTGTTGAGAGCGTCTTCAATGATAAAAATTCTTTGAAACATTTTAAATGTAATAAAATTACGAAAGTGTTGCAATACTGAAGTAGTACAAAATATACATGGCCACAAAAGAAATGGTGTTGTTGTTGCTTTGTAAAAAACGCTGCTGACGTTGGCATTATAAATGAAAGGAACTGAGCATTTATTATCCTATTAACAATTGCAGTCTTATCAAAGTGCGTACAGCACCCAGTGTAGCCGCCGAAGGAACGAAGAAGACCCCGAATGTGGGAAGTGTTCAAAGTGTCTCAAACAATGAGCCAAACAACAATAACAAATTAATGCGAGATTGGTGACAGGCGACAAAGTCATTGCGGCATTGACGAGCCTTGCTTCAGCTTGCCGTATTACTTCACCGGTTCCACATGCAGAGCGGTGCTTGCGACAAGCGTTGTTTTAGACAATGGCAATTCGAAGTTAAAATAATAGAATCCATCAAGGAGACTCAGGAATTGCGCCGCTATAACTCGTAAGAATTAGACATTTAAAGCTCCCATTCATAAATACTCGTAAGTACATATGAATTACCATACATTAAGTTTGATATAAAAAGTGGCAGTTGAAGATGACTTTCGGTGTGATATCGTTGGAAAGTTTGAAATTTCTACATTTTCGTCAACTGAAGTTGAACTATACAACTGAACTAAAGTCGGTTTCATAATAAAAATTTATAACCTCCTATTGTACTACCTTCATTTGGCTGTGCGTCTTTAATACTTTGAAAATTTATGTACATATATTGTATATTCAGATTGCAGCTCACTCAGCGATGAAAGAGACGTGTTCGATTTTTAAAATGTCACTAATGTGAACCCAAAAGTTCTCTTGGACCTCGTGGTCATTTTAATTATACAGCTCTAAAAAAAATAATTTCTTTTGTTGCCCTGGATGTCTTAGCTAATTTTGATGTTCTAAAGTGTCCAGTTTACCAATTTATTCATGAGTATAGTGAACTTGTTTTATGATTAATGTATATCTTATATTTTCAGAATTAACGAATCAAATTGTTTTTCCAGTTAAGATTAGAGTTCTGCGCACCTTTTTCACCCGTACAAATATAATATTACGATATCTCCACTCTCAGGCTTCTTACCGAAAATATGCGAATTATGGGAAAGGTTTTAATGAAAATCAAACGAGGAGATATCTAGACTACACATTGTCCTATTTTACTCAACGAAAATCTGCATGGCCGACAGAAACAATGTTGTCGCCGAATTCCCAGAAATCTGTACACGTTACCAGTGAAAGTCAATGGGAGAGTGAAACATCTACGCCAAAGTTATTTTGTCAAAATGAACTAAGCAAGTTAACATGTGATTAAATTACAAATAATAACACAAAGCGGAACTTCCTCTAACGAGGAAGGATATTTATAGAAAATGTCTGAAGTTTAGGATGGAAATATTGTAAGGTATAAAATTTGATGGTCCTCCACTACGGCAATTAATGGAAGAAAAACATTTTTTCAAGTTTAGGTCTGTTCCGGAATTTCAAGCTTGGGAAAGTTTTGTGTTAATAGTTGATAATTTCCGACGTAACCATAAAGCATTAAATTATAAAGAAATTGTGAAAAATATGTTGATAAACTTTCAGACTGTAGATACAAATTTGAGTATCAAGTCAGACTATTTCCGAAATAATCTGGATACATTTTAGGATAATTTTGAAAATTATTGTGGGAAATGTAGAGAGCGGTTCCACCAGGAAGATGCTTCAAGATTAATGGGATCGTTATTGGATGGCAGTTTACTACCAACTGCAAAAGCAAAATAAAAGCAAATACATATGTATATCAGAATTTTTTTTCTCTGTTTACTTTGCTGTATCCTTATCAAAACAAGATTGAAATTATAAATATATTATATATGTTATTTTGTTTCATGTTTTCTGATTTTTGTAATCTTAAGTGGACGTAAATATTTAAAAATGAACGACAGCAAATCTTACGAAATTATTCATAGTTTCATGAATTGTGAGCACAAATATATATATCCAAAATAATCGGTCTTGTATATACTTGTAGTGTTGCCCTACCACTGTAGACCAGTGTTACTGACGCTTTGGGGTTATAATCTTCCTCGAAAATGTCACTACAGTATTTAAACTGTAAATTGGTGACATCAAGCTCTTACAAAAATAATATGAGTTCACTTTAATTATATCTTATTTGTCCATCATTGCACCTCACGTTAAGATTGAACGTTATATGAGTTAGTAATTTTAATATACCTATATTATGATATATGTGTTTTACTTCTCTGCACAAATAACCTATTTCTTTACTTTTCTTTATAGGGGTTTCGGCTTCATAACATTCAGTGATCCAGCCAGCGTAGACAAGGTTCTAACACAAGGTACTCACGAACTTGACGGTAAAAAGGTAAACCATTACTTCGTTCAAATATTTACTTTACACTTTTTTTCCAATTACATATTCACACTTTACATATATGCTTACATATACCTATAGTCAGTAATTTCATGGATTAACTAAAAGGCTCTAGAATAGAATACAGATGTGTGAGTATAAAAAGTACATTTTATTCGGTCAATTTTCTTTTGATGTGTTGAGCCAATCAAACTAAAACTTAAACAGGGTTTGATGGGTTCTTGGTCAATTAATATCAACTTTTGATTATTTAAAGGTCCCGAAGGCCCTAGTTGAAAGCTATGACTTCAAAAGATGTTCCAAACTTAGGAATACTGTACAGTGCGGAAGAAAGTGCAAAGACGATTTTACCTCGTCTTCTAGGAAATGTAACATATTCGGACTCCCTATCGACAAATAAATCACACGAGATCAGACAGTTTCATTTACTTTAAAAAAAAAAACTATCACGACCGAAACGTACGAGATAAAGTTACCTCCAGGGGCAAAAGTGGTGTTAGAAAATCAAATAAACTCAATGGATTTAAACTAGATATATTGACTATTAACATTTTTAGTTGTTCGATTTTTGATATTTTGCAGCCTTCTTGAGAATGTATCAAATCTTGTCAGGTCTTTCTTAAATAAATTGGTAGGAATATACTTATAAAATATAGTGTCATAAGATGAGAGCAATTTTTGTAGTTTTGGAGAATATTGGCTAGTTGAGCGTTTCTATTTCCATAATATCATAATTACAAACAAGTCTGTGTGTTGGCAAAGACTTTCTCTCCAAGAAGCTACTCATTTGTCGGAATCGCCGATATTGGACCACAATATCATATAGCTTCCATACAAACGGACCGACCAAAAGCCAGTCCTTGTTAGAATTTTTTATACCCTGAACAGGGTATATTAATTTTGCCACGAAGTTTGTAACACCGAGAAGGAAACGTTGGAGACCATATAAAGTATATCTATAAATGATCATCGTGACGAGCTGAGTTGATTTAGCCATGTCCGTCTGTCTGTCCGTCTGTCTGTCCGTCCGTCTGCCCGTCTGTATATACGCGAATTAGTCCCTCAGTTTTTGAGATATCGATCTGAAATTTTGCACCTGTCCTTTTCTAACAAAGAAGCTGCTCATTTGTTGGAACGGCCGATATCGGAACACTATAGCATATAGCTGCCATACAAACTGAACAATCGGAATCCAGTGTTTGTATGGAAAATTCTTTCATTTGACGAGCTATCTTCACGAAATTTGGCATGTATTATTATTAAAGGCATTAATCTAATCTCCGAAGAAATTGTATAGATCGGATGACTATAGCATATAGCTGCCATATTAACTGAACGATCGGAGTAAAGTGCTTGCATGGAAATTTTTTTTATTTGACGAGGTATCTTCACGAAATTAGGCACGAGTTATTGCTTAAGGCAACAAATTATTCTCCACAGAAATTGGTCAGATCAGATCACTATATCATATAGCTGCCATACAAATTGAACGTTCGGAATCAAGTTCTTGTAAGGGGCCTTTGTATTTGTGAAGGGTATTATAGCTTCGGCGCAACCGAAGTAACGTTTTTTCTTGTTTTTCTTTGATAAAATTTGGCATGTGTTATTGCCCAAAGAAACGGTGCAGTCTCCGAAGAAATTGCGCAGATTGGACTACTACAGCATATAGCCCCCATACAAATTGGTCGATCAAAATACTGATAAAGATCTTTTTATACCCTTGAATATCTTGCTTTATGAAATGCACCTGTGAAGGATATTATATCTTTGGTGCAGTTAAAGGGAATGATTTTTCTTGCACGACGGGAAACGTCGTTATGTGGTCTTTATTGGTATATATAGTTTTTTTTTAATTTAAAATCCAGCCTTTGATTGGTTTTGACTGCTTTTTGATACAGTACAGTTCCCCTATTTTTATACAGTACTCCCCTATTTTTGTTTCAATGTGGAAAGAGAGTTCCCATAGACAGCAGAAAGCAAATGGAAAGAGTTTTATGATCACATTTTGCTAATACAGAGCGCCCATTTTTAAGTGCATTACTGTATTCCAAATAAAACTTATGATAACATATGTTTTTCCCTCTTACTGATTTTGTGATTGTAGTCTATATACATATATTTACTTGATATATGGACGTGTGAATATCTATTTTCTATTATTTGTCACAAATAGACAAGTTGCATATATATTTGAAATATTCACTCGCATTAACTTGATTACATAGGATTGACGCAGTCGCGAATGAATTCAAAGTTCTCTGGCAGTAGCCACGAGATTCCTCACCTACTCTACGTAAGCTAGTAGTGCGATTTGTGATGTTCAATTTCCGTTTGTTTGAAATTTGCGCTTTGCAATTTTATTTAACTTTTTTTTACTGCGGCTCTTCGGCTGAAAAGCTCAATGTAGTAGTAGCATTTTTCTCACTGGTGGTTTCGGCTGTACTTTCCCGCGCATACACACTCCATCCTATTGCAAACATTAGTAAAGCAGCATCAATATTGCCCAAACATTTCCAATTATTTGCTGTTTTCATTCATTTTCCATTTCGGTTCGTTAAACCTGTTTGCCAAATAGCCGTATACGGTACACTGAAAAAACGACTTGACAGTTTCACTACTTTTAATTCAATGACAGTTATTTGATTAATTTTACAGGTTTTCCTAAATATTATTCATATAATATGTGTTAAGAGTCAGCCTTGAAATATTACCTAGAATAAGTCTAAGTGACAAAGTTTAAGACGATCGATATGTTCGAATATATGGGCCAATAGCATCCCCTCAAAACAATGTCTGATGATTTTCGTCCTCTCTTCGGATATATCGTTCGAATGGATGGTGCATATCCGACTATAAAAGTACTTAAAGTACTAGTGTTTCAATGCTTAATTTGTTGACTTGCACAGTATTCGTCGGAAAAAGTCCACTTCGTATTAACGATTTCTTTCATGCCTGTAAAACTTTACCTTATAACCGAGGCACTTACTATTGACAATATTTTTTCCAGTGAGCATTTACGTTGTACTTATTTCAGCGTAGTGGTCGGCTCATTGGCTAGTTGTCCATCACTCGATTCTGACTCTGATATCTAGCCTAGAAACGTGGCCCGTCTTCTCCAACCTCTCTCCATTTCGTCTCAACCTCAGTGGTGTATGCATATATGAAATGCATTGATGTATGTATGTGCGTCGCGCCCACTCAACGCTGATTAGTTTTAGCTTTAATCTCGAAATCGATTTCGCTGATGCTCGAATCTGGCAGGAAATAATCGTCCAGTTGCAATTGAGCTTTGGCGTTCTACCTGTGAATTCGCTACTATGCCACCCTCGTTTCCGGCCTCGCTGGCACCACGCATTGCGTTTGTTTGTCAACTGCTCGTTCTCTGATTTTTTGTTCAGCAATATTTCAATTTATATTTGTTATTGTTGTGATACAATTTCTCTTCCCCAATGTTTCCCATTTACTATATACGAGTATGGATACATACAAAGTTCTACGCTTTCGGCACCCAGTTCGGGCATTTAATTTACTATTGGTTCGTTTAATTTACTTCGCTGTCGTTTCTTCGATGCAAGGACATGTAGATTTTCTTACAGATAATCGGAGATATGCAGTTCAACTCGAATTGGCAATTGACGACAGCATCTAGTTCATTTATGCAACATCACGCAGCGACGTATCAATGTAGCATAGCATCCGTCGTGTAAATGAGCTAAAATGTTTTGATTTTGTGGATGAAATAGTACAAATATACATAAACACATGCATACACACATATATGTGCATAAACCAAAAAGTAATTGAAATTTTATGATTTTTAATTACTACAACCTGGCGTGTTAAGCCCACGCAAGCAGCTTGCTCAGCACTTTTAGCTGATCCACAACTCTCCTTCCTGGTCTTTCATCCTTTGTTTGCGGCCGCTGTCCGCGCTGTTCCATTTGATTTTATTCCATTTCCTTTTCTAACTTGAAATTAAATGAAATTCCTGAACTAAAAATGGAAATGAAAATAATTATAATAACAATAAATCGTTGCTTGGTTAGGATATATTTAGACCAGGTTGCCGTGAGAATAAAACGAGAATAGTCTGTGGTACCGTTCTTTAAACTTCTGATTTGCTTTATGACCGGCTCATCAATTTTGTTGAGCCCAAAATGCTAGACAGAAGTTTCTTCCACTCCCTAGTTTCTCTCAGTCTTGCTAAGTTTCTTTCTATTTGGTATTTTCAACTCAAAGAATATCTTTCTGCTCTTGCCTCAAATAGTCCAAAAGTCGTATGTTGGAAGGACTTATAAAGTGTTTTGTTCAGCTAGGGAGAATTTTAGTTAGCAATACTTTACATATAGAATATATTGCACGCATAGTCTGCTGATGTATGATATAATGAGGGTATTTCACCCTCTAATCGATTACGTCTTGATTCATCTCCAATTAAGAGAAGGTGTCATGTAAAGTCGCCCAGTCCTATAAAAGTGTCCAGAATGGCTTACTTCCTTGCTAACAGTCATATAAACACATTTTCCCAATTATGAACAAAAAAGTTTGTGTTCCCTTTTCGACTGTGTTGCCGTTCACATACGAGTATATGGATAAAATTTATACCGTTAGAAAGGAGAAGACGTGCAGAAGTGCACAACGTTTTCATTGGTGTTATTTCTCCTTTGCGCTTCACACTTATCACAGTCGTATACAGAAGTACATTTCGTCGCTTTCTGTATAAGTTGCAAATACCATACATATTTCGGATAATTATGTATCGTTTACGGCGGATTTGTGGTTGCAATGTTATTCCACTTTTAATTGTGTTTGGATTTTGAGTGTTGCAACACTGAATTCGGGTACAATTTCATTTTACATGCCCATTCAATTTCAAGTATTGTATGTGAAAGAAAAAATACCAATAATAATAAATATTTTGGCGAGTTAGAAATTTTTAGATAAATTTCACGAGCATTATGTGATAGTTAATTTTTTGAAAAATTGCACGAAAACGAACTATAAAAAAAAATTGAAATTTATTCTTGTAAATTATTTTTTAGAACGTCTTTCAGAATTTGTTTCATTAAAAATTAATAAAATTTAAATACTATTAATAATGTTAATAAATGGTATTTTTTATTGGTCCAATTTCGACCATCCGCGACCCTTAAAATAATTTTCACAGGGGCAAATCTGATCAAGAATATCATTTTCGTTATGTAACTGGCTTTTAATAATATCACATTTAGAAAGTTTTGGAAAAGCATAAGTGTCCACATTTCAAAACTATTTGTAAACTCTGTAACTGGATTTCAAAAACCCAACAAAATCTTCGACGATTAAATCCATAAAATAATTATCATTAATTGTATATTTAATGTTATTACCATAAAGGGGTTTAATGTTTCTAGTTCTAAAATAACCGTAAACGTTTCTTTGTTTGCTTTTTTTTATTTCCAAACCTAGGTACATATTTAAATTAACAGAACTATTTTTATAAATCCAAAATTAGCGGAAGTAGTATTTGATGCTGCCGGAGCTTAGTTCTTCATTGCATGTTGCTTCTATGTACATTTACGCAACGCTTATTAACACTATATAAAACAAGCGTGATTTTTCCAATTTCTATATTTTCAGATTGACCCGAAGGTAGCTTTTCCCCGCAGAGCACATCCTAAAGTAAGTAAAACTTGATATAATACCCCTTGATTTAATTACTTATTTGCAAATGTGACCCTTTATAAAAAATTAGTAAGCGCTATAAATATAAGAGTACGCAAATAAAATTAGAGCACTATTGTCTTTGGTATTGAGTTCGTACTTTCGTCGAGAGAAAGTATAACGTTTTATTTGAATCTACACAAAATTACATCTAAAGGCCATGATGTGGAAGATAATCGGTTCTACTGAGTATATGTGGAATACAAAACTTCTCTAGTATACAGTATGCTATACAACAGAGGTCAGCAATATAATGTAAAAATAAAAGTACTACTTATTTTTTTTTAAGTATTCGATTAGGCATGCAACTAATTCTACGGATTAAGAAAAACTGAGCTGAATTATTTAAAAAAAACTTGTAGAAAAATACAAAATTTTTATGGGATGTGAAATCGTAAACATGTAAGGAAGGACTGAATTACGGAGGAAATAAACATTAGCTAGTTAAAATTTGTGACAAGAGAGAAACTTCAAAGTCGAATTAGTAAATTTTACTAATGATGGTGCTTATCAAATGTGGACTAACATCTCTTTTCCCAAAAGAATCTGACTAAATAAGAGAGTAACTTTTTAGAATGGGAGAGATGTGGATCGAATGTTAAAATTTTTGGTACTATCTCTATAAAAATCTAGTTTCATATTTAAAAATTATTGCCTAAACTATTGTTAAATTAACAGGCGGACTAACCATAATGGATCATTTACGCTCTCTGGTTAAATGTTAGAGTTTTTTTTTTCTTGGCGTATTTGGCTATTGCTTAATTAGTTTATGAGATATATATTTTTTGATAAATGTCTATAGACAAGTAGTTAGGTACAAATAAAGACTTAATCAGCGAACATGCTATAAATCTAGCTGAGTCTCGGTGGAGATAATCAATAACTTGCTCAACTAGCAGACTAATTTGACAGGAATGGAGTGTGAGTCGTACAAACCGACTATTAAAACACAAAAGGAATGACATAAGAACTCTGATAGGAGTACTAACAGGTCACTGTATGATTGGTAGACATGCCAGCAGGCTAGGTGTACCTAACAATGACTATTGTAGAAGCTGTCAGGAAGTAGAATAATAGGCGACTGCAAAACATCTTCTATGCGAACGTATGGCTTTATACAGGAAAAGATTCGCAACTATCGTTCGAGGGTTCCTTGACGACGTTTTGGAAGATGCTCATATAAACCTATTTGTACTGATGAGCTTCATCAGATGCATAGGTTGGTTCAGAGAGGAGACTATAAAGTGAGGTAACATTAGTGCCGGTGGTGTATCACAATGTGACTTCTATAGGCCTAGGTGCTACCTACCTACCTAGGTAAAGTGGACGTCTGACGACGCATCTAAGCCTTTAGGAGGTACATTATGAAACCACCGGGACTAAAATCCCCTCACTCTATTATGTCGAAATGTCTATAACTGTCGATAATTTTAGAGAGCCGAAAACAATGTTGGTTTACAATGTTATTGTACTCTCTGTGACATGTTGCAAGAGTATAAACTTAATAAACGTCTCTAATAAGAAGCGCTTCTCACTGCTTTTGAGTGAAAAATGATGATAACTACAAATTTCAGTAAGTCACTGCATCGCGTCGGAGATAAAAACAGCTTCTATGTATGTACGCTTCGCAAAAAAAAAAAAAAATAATCATACACCATAACGGAGTTATTAAGCGCTATATAAATGCCATGAGAACCATTTTGTGGCAGAAGTGGCAACCGCAAGCAGCTACGAAAATAGGAAGTAGAGAAAGGCGCATAACGAAAAGTGTCAGCAACAATACAAATACGGCTTTGGTGTGGTACTGTTAGGATGAAAGCAGTAGCGAAAATCTGAGTTGAAACGTTTAAAGAGCTCCTGAAGAAAGGAGGAGAATTGAAACATATACACAAATATATGTGTATACTTCACTGACTCAATGTCGGTATAATATTTACTAATATTATTAACGCTTAAATTTAATATTTTTATTTTTTGCGATTTTACATATATATGTGGAAGTATATAAGAGTTTATAAGTGGTGAGTGTTTAGATTCCTGAAATGTTGTCAAACAATAAGTTGTCAGAAAATATTTAATAATTACATGAGACTTGTCAAGGATTTGAAAATAATTTATAACAAACTGAGATTATACAATATTAGATTAGGTATACACATTCTAAAATCATATCCTTGAATATAGATTTTCACACTTTCAAAGTTAATTTATCGCTTTACAATTTGCTATGGACCGAACGAAAACGCAAATAAAGTTGAGAAGTGATATTCTTTTCTCCTTTGCACGTTCCATAGCTTCAATTGAAACCAGCTTCAAGATAGCCAGATAAAGTTTACAAAAAATATACCCATATATTTTCACAACATGAATTACGAACTTTGTAATGGAACTAGTGCCGACTAGTGTTGCACTGAAATAAGTGGATCCTGAAGTGTGTTGAAATAATCCAATTTAACGGCGACTTTCAAATTTGCAGTGTGGGTGGCTTTAAATGGGTAAAGTAATTCTTGAGAATAAAAAATAAAATGAAATGCGAAAAAAATGATAATACTTAGCGACATAAAATGCAGATGAGCCAAGTTAGCAAAAAATAAGCCCGCCATAAAAAAGTCGACGCAAATATATGTACCATAACCAGATATGTTAAGACATATTCTTATGAATGTGTTCTTATCCACTCGCAAATGAATACTTCTATACTGGTATGAAGAGGCAAGAGGACTGAGAACACAACTCAACGCATTAAGCTTTAAAAATTGGGGCACAGTGGGTGCCAACCATTTAAGAGCGACATAAAGGGGTTGGTGGTGGGCGTATTTTTAATAATCACGAGCCCTTACTCTGGCAACAGCGTTAAGTGGTGGAACGACGTGCAACCGCATTTTAATTTTTCCAACGCGTCGACATTGAATTTTCCTATTTTCATGCATTTTGCTTACTTTCGCATTTCTGCGGAATATTTTCTTATTTGTTACAAAGACTTGGAGTTCCATGCATACCTGCGTACATTCAAGCATACCTGAAAACACCTAAGACTCTTTTGGCTCAGACTCGCATACAAATGGTGGGTATTGGAGGCAATGTTCCCTCAAATGCGAAAGAAATCCTCACGCTTGCTTTCGGGCATTTTAAAATTCTCATTGAATAAGTTGTTGGCTGTGCTGTTGGGGCTGCGAAATGTCAGCAATTTTGAAGTAAATAAAAAATATTTATTTTCATTAAAATTAAAAATAAACGTCAGCTCATAATATTAAATGGTTACGTCCTAGATGTGGCACAACCGTATGGTCTATCTCTAATCAGTATTAAAAATGAAAATAAGACTAAAAATATTTCTCTCTTTAAATCATTTAAATTAGCATCTGACTCGAATTGGTGACCATCGTTGCCGAGTTAATTGATTGTGAGATTGTATCTAGTTGGACTAAGAGAAAGAAAATGAGGAGATTTTAAATGCTCTTAACAAGTTTGTTGATTTTGGAAAAAGCAGTTATTACAGGTTCTGAGTAGGAGTATGTGGGAACCGAAGGTAGGAAATACTAATTTTATACTCTCGCAACAATTTGCTACAGAGTATAATAGTTTTGTTCACCTTGTCCAACGGTTGTTTGTATCACTTAAAACTAATCGAATTAGATATAGGGTTATTTATATATAAATGATGAGGATGAAGAGACGAGTTGAAATCCGAGAGACTGTCTGTCCGTCCGTCCGTCTGTGGAAGCTGTAACCTGAGTAAAAATTGGGATATATTTATAAAACTTTGTACACATATTTCTTGGTACCGTAAGACGGTCGGTATTGCAGATGGGCGTAATCAGACCACTGCCACGCCACAAAACGCCATTAATCAAAAATAAAAAAAAATTGCCATAACTAAGCTCCACAATAAGAATAAGACTGTTATTTGGTATACAGGATCACATTAGTGGTCCCGCCCCCCATTAGTGGTCCCGCCCCCTAATAGGATTATTGTGCATATCTCTTAAACCACTAAAGCTATAATAACAAAATTCACAGAGAACAAAGGTTTTTAACACATCTATCGACAGTGTGAAAAAGGCTGGCAACTGTATCCACTCCTCATATAACGGTACTATTAAAAACTAAAGTCGATAAGTGAGGTACTAAATACAGCAGAGACATTCAATTTTATCTCTTTCAGGTAAAAACCCATATCTTATGCTCTGCTTAACCCCAGTGCCTATAGTTGACTTTTTACCGAAAAAATCGGTCAGTTTTTAAGATATATAATTGAAATTCATATAATAAAATAAATAAATGAAACTCTCGATAAAATATTTTTTTGTGTCAAAAATGGGCTGAATCGTATCAATATCTCCTTTGGGCTTTGATCCTTGCAAGTTGCGAACTTAGAACTTCCTAACCTTTTGTGCACCTACGTCGTATTTACAAAAATTCTTTTAATTGAATGGCTTTTTTTGTTACCTATAATAAAACCATCTTTTCAAACAAATAACCAAATACATTCGGTTTAAAAGATATAGATATTTTAATTCAACGACAATAAAATTTGAAAACTTCATTTATTTTTTACAAAAAAGTCTACAATTCGTGTCTGCTTTATAATGGTTTCTAAGCTTTTTTGTATACCAATTTCTTTGCAAATACCTAGGTAAAAAGAAAGGTATAATAAAGTAGTCATCCAAGCAGATTTCGGGTTTATACATACATTATCCATACGTTATACATACATTATATATACATTACGGGTAGAAATTTGTGTTTGAAAGGTCTCGGGTTCTGAGATTTTCCAATTACAGAAAGTGGTAATTTCTTGTTTCCGAAGCATTGGCGCACGTTAAAAACCTTAAGCATTCTTTGGAGTTCTTTCTTCTTGGTGCAGATGGTTCTTCAGGAAGAACGTATGTTTTTTCAGAAAGTAATTGAATCTGCAATGAAAATTGCATCGTGTGAAAGGTTATTATATTTTATTA